GATGAGGATTTGTCACTGCTACCAGTTAGTCACCTTGCTTATGCAGCAAATGTTTCAGCGTGCTGATGGTTGTTGATGTTCACGCAGTGGTGGGATTCTAGGTTGTTTTTCTTCCCAGTTTGCTTAGGAAGTTACACATTTTTCCCTGTGTTGCCTTTTGAATGTTAATAAAGGAAAAATTAGGAAATGTCAGATGCTCCTGTGTCACCTTACATCAGACCCTTAATATTTACACTTCAAACATTCTATACCATACTGATTTTTCCCCTGGAAAAATCACTTGCTTTTCAAACTAGTCCTGCAGTTGTGAACTTTATAAAATGTTTATTCACTAATGGAAAGGAGGAAGCCAATATTAACAGAGTCAAAATGGTTAGGCAGCTTCTGCATTCAAAATGGCACAACAGGGAGCTTGATCATACTTGCACCAACGTGTAAGCAAATGTCCTTTTACTGTTCCCTGCACAGTGGTGTGTCAGTGTAACGTATCAGTTATCCTCTGCATGCACCAATTCTTTTACCTGACACATGATCCTGATACTGTAGGTGTTCAGGTAAAAAGCAGAATGGTATTGGCTTTGTTTCACTGCTCTGATTTATTTTTTTTTAATTAATGAAAACGTGGATTCTTTAGGTACCTTAAGTTCTTGCTAACATCCCTGAGAATCTTCTGCAAGACTGGGCCCAAAGCCCAGGACACATTGTGAAGTGGTGACTTATTTGCTGATGAAAGGAAAATATATATTTAATAAAAGCCTTTATTTTGATGGCACGACCGTAGGAGACTTGCTGCTCCAGGTGGATTCTGCGCCTGTTCCCTGTGTGTAGCTTGTGTGTGCAAATGAACACCGTTATTGCCTATTTCATTGAAGTTAGTCATTCAGCCTGTTAAGGACCAGGGTGGTTGGACATCTGCAGCTAAACTGGTGGCGAGTACAGTCAATAAATACGGAAGGGTGCTCTGCAAGTGTGATTCACCTGACCTGCTTTGGCTGGCTGACGTAGCGTGAGCTGGCTCACACCCTGGGAGGTGCCTGATTCTCTCCATTAGGTATAAAGCAAGCTGGCGATGACTGGTTTTGCAGACAGCTGTCTGCATTCCTTCACAGCCATCTCATCCTTGTTGTCTTTTTCCTGGCTTATTTGATTATTGTGCCATTTAGGCAGTTTGCTAACAGCCCACCTATGGCTCTCATTTAACACTCATGAAGAAGAGATTTTTTTACTTCAAAGAGTAAATTGAATCATCCATGTCCATAAGGGGTCTGTACCTAAAGTACCTGCTGATTCTCAATGACTGTGGATGTAATACTGGGAAATCTTTCAAAGGCTTTAAAGAAAGTCAGTTTAGATCTGGCTGAATTACTGTAATCAATATTCAGTGCAGTTTTGATTGGGAAATGTTTCTGAGAGAGAGAAGGCGTGTAATACTGCAGTATACTTCTTAATAGACAAAGAAGTCTTAAAGCCATATATTTATGCATGTCACCTACTTAGTAATGTTCATGGAGTTGTGTGTTAATTCAGCTTGTGAGATTTAAGCTTCTGTGGTCTCCCTGGCAAGGGAAGCTGCAGTATTTTCCCAGCACACTGCTGCCTGCAAGCAGCAGAAGCCCGTAC